AGGACAGGCCCTACCGCTGCAGCTTCTGCCACAAGTTCTTCAAGGACCTGGCCTACCTGGCCGTGCACGAGAAGGTGCACACGGGCGAGACGCCCTACAAGTGCGGCGTGTGCCACAAGGGCTTCGCTCACCCCTCCAACCTGCTGCAGCACCAGCGCGTCCACAGGGACACCTGAGGGGGCTCCGGGCGGCCCCGGCAGGTGAGGAGGGGTCTGGGAGGTGCAGCGTCAGCCCCAGGTGAGAACCCTCGAAAAACACCTCACCTGTGTCTCACATTGATAGCTGAGCCATGGGGGTGAGCTCCAGGCTGGAGGACTCCAAATTGTGTCCCAGCACAGGTGTGGAGGTTTTGGGAGGTGCAGCATGAGCCCCAGGTGAGGAGAACATGGAGGTGTGTCTCAGGACAGGTGTTCATCCCAAAAAACACCTCACCTGTGTCTCACATTGATAGCTGAGCCCTGGGGATGAGCTCCAGGCTGGAGGACTCTATACCTGCACCTGAAGAAGAGCCATTGCACCTGTGCCTGAACTGTGACACCTGAGCCCTGGGCTGTGAGACACCAAACATGCACCTGAGCACAGGTGTGGGCCCCAAACACCTGCAGCACCTGAGCCTCAGTGACACCTGAGCCATGGGGATGAGCTCCAGGCTGGAGGACCCCAAACACACACCTGAGGGCAGGTGTGGACCCCAAACACCTGCAGCACCTGTGCCATGGTCATGGGGATGAGCTCCAGGCTGGAGGGCTCTACATGTGCACCTGAGCACAGGTGTGGAGGCCTGGGAGGTGCAGGATGAGTTCCAGGTGAGGAGACCTTGGACCTGTGTCCCAGGACAGGTGCAGCCCCCAAGCACCTGCAGCACAACACCTGAGCCACTGTGTTGCCACCACAACTCCTGCCAAGCCCTGAGGGACCCTGAAGGTGCACCTGAGGACAGGTGTGACCCCAAAAGAGCTGCAGCCCCTCACCTGAGCTACACACCTGGACTGGGAGCTCCTGGGGGTTGGGGACACTGACGTGGTGCAGAGTCCTGGGGCTGTCCAGGTACACACCTGGGGCTGATGTTCACACCTGGACCAGCCTGTGCTCCTGGACCAGATACACACCTGGATGAACATGGACAACCTGTGTCTACCTAGAGCTTGGACTTGCTGCTATGAAGACAATGGCACAGGTAGAACTCACCTGTGCTCACCTGTGGACTCTGGACCTCACCTGTCTCACCTTTCCATGCACACCTGTAGCATTGGGGATCAGGTGTGCACACCTGAGCTGCTCCTCACCTATTAAACGATGGTTAATGATGTCCTTGCTCTCACCTGTCTTACCTGTTCCTCAGGTGTGCAGAGTCACTTGTCAGGTGGCACCTGGGGACCCCCAAAAGTCACACATGGCGGGTTTGGGTCACCTGAGTCGCACCTGGAGGGTTAGGGACCCCCAAAAGTCACACCTGGAGGGTTGGAGACCCACCAGAGGACACACCTTGAAGCTCTGGGGTCACACCTGGAGGGTTGGAGACCCTCAAAAATCACACGAGTCACACCTGGAGGGTTGAGAACACCTTTATTTCCACCTGTGGCTCAGCCTCACACCTGTCCGAGGTGTGTTGTGCACCTGAAGCCTCCTCAGGTGCTGTGGGGGGGTTGAGAGGCACAGGTGACCAGTGATGTCACAGGTCCTCCTTGGTGAGCTGCACTGAGTCGTCACCTGGGGAGTTTCTCCTGGGCAGGTAAATGGCTCCCATGGAGGCTGGGGGCCTCAGGTGAGCTGTGGGGATAAACCAGGGTCACACCTGGATCACTTGGGTGACACCTGAATGTCATCTGGATCACCTGGGACACACTTGGATAAATTGGGTGACCACCTGGTTCACATCTGAGTGACATCTACATCCCCTGGGACAAAACTGGGTGACACCTGGGATACACCTGTGTCACCTGGGTAGCATCTAGGTTATCTAGGTCACACTGGGACACACCTGGGTGACACCTGGGTGATGTATAGGCTACCTGGGGCACACTGGGAAACGCCTAGGTCACCTGGGTCACACCTGGGTGACACCTGATCCCCACAGGGGGCACAGAGGGGGCACAGGAGAGGCCTCACCTTTCACCTGGGCAAGTGCAGCAAACCTGGTCCTCAAGGTGAGCCAGAGCAGGACCCCAGCGAGTGCCACCACCAGCACCAGCAGAGCCACCAGAGCCTCACAGGTACGAGGTGCACCTGGCCGGGGATGGGGACAGGTGTGAGGGACCCAAAACCTGCCCTTACCTGCCCCAGGTGCTACCTGTTTCCTTCACACCTGTCCTACCTGTTTCCTTCACACTGTACCCACTTGCACCATTCACACCTACCCACCTGTGCCATTCAATCCTGTACCAGCACCAGCAGAGCCACCAGAGCCTCACAGGTACGAGGTGCACCTGGCCGGGGATGGGGACAGGTGTGAGGGACCCAAAACCTGCCCTTACCTGCCCCAGGTGCTACCTGTTTCCTTCACACCTGTCCTACCTGTTTCCTTCACACTGTACCCACTTGCACCATTCACACCTACCCACCTGTGCCATTCAATCCTGTCCTGTTTCCTTCACACCTTACCCATTCATTCACACCTTCACACCTGTCCTACCTGTTTCCTTCACACTGTACCCACTTGCACCATTCACACCTACCCACCTGTGCCATTCAATCCTGTCCTGTTTCCTTCACACCTTACCCATTTGTGCCATTCACACCTGTCCCACCTGTGCCATTCAATCCTGTCCTACCTGTGCCCTTCACACCTGTCCCACATGTGCCATTCATACCTGGTGCTCACCTGGGGCCTTTCCCCTCTACCTGGCACTCATCTGGTGACCTCTTACCCCACCTGGTGCTCACCTGGGACCCTTTCCCTCCACCTGAGTCTCACTAAGGCACCTTCCCCCAGCTGCTGCTTATCTGGGGACCTCCCCTTCTACCTGGTCCTCACCTGGGCACCTTCTCCCCACCTGGGGAACCTTCTTTCCACCTGGACACCTCCCCCCCAACTGCCGCTCACCTGGGGGTCTTTCCCACTCACCTTTGGGCTGGGCACACACCACCTGAGCAGCACCTGTTGCACAGGTAGCAGGTCCCACCTGCTGCAGGTGACACTCCTCCAGGTACACCTCACCCCCTTGGCAGATGAGCTCCCACAGCAGCTCTCCCGGGGCCAGGTGAGCCCCCACAGGTGCTGCCAGGGCAGGGCCACAGCCCATGTGGCTGCAGATCATCTGAGCCTCCCTCAGGCTCCAGGTGGTGCCACACAGGCTGTGCCAGGTGTGCTGGGACAGCACCTGTACCTGCCCAGCACAGGGCCCAGGGCCATCCTGCAGCCTCACCTGCAGGGGGGTTGCACCTGGGGGAGAGACAGGCAGGTGAGAGAGAGGAGACACACCTGGGCACACCTGAGCATGCCTGAGAGCACCAACCCACCTGGTTCCCCCCAGTCCCTGCAGCCAGGTGTTACCTGAGCACACCTGAACATGCCTGAAACCACCACCCTCTACACCTGTGTTCCTTGAACACACCTGACCCCACCTGAATACCCCCAGACACCCCATGCTTTGCCTAACCTCACCTGAGTGCTCCTGAGCTCACCTGAAACTCCCCAAGCCCCACCTAACCTCACCCAATCTCACCTGAACTCCCCCAGGTTCAACCTGACCTCACCTGATCACCCCAAGGCCTAACCTGACCTCACCTGAACAACTCTACGCCCCACCTGAGCATCCCCTGAGCTCACCTGATCATCCCCATCCCTCACTTGAGCACCCTCAGCCCCTGTCTCACCTCACCAGAGCACTCCAGGTGTGCTGTAGGATCTTCTAACTCACCTGTGCTGTGTGGGCCACCTGTGCTATTCGGGTGACCTGAGCTTCCCTCGTGCACATCTGTAAAACAGGACACCTGTTCAGGTGTGGTGACCTGGGCAGTGACCTCCCCTCCCTCCTGCAAGGTGGCACCTGCCTAGGTGAACTCCACAGCTCACCTGAGATCCATAGGTGATGATGAATAGGTCACCTGAGCCCACCTGAGCTCCCCAGCTCACCGAGCTCACCTAAACTCCCCCATCTCACCTGAGCTCTCAGGTAGCCCCAACACAGGACACACCTGTCCCTCCCAGGTGCCCCCGAGGTGAAGAAGCCAGGTGAGACCACTCCAACTCACCTGTGCTACAGGTAACCCTTGCGTGTCTCCTCGTCCTGCACCTGGAGCTGTTCCACACCTTCACCTGACACTCCAGCAGGTTCCACTCAGTCCCAGAGCACTCCACAGCCTCCACCCAGGTGAGTCCTTCGCTCCCAGGTGCTGTCACCTGTGTGGAGGTGGCTGCCAGGGCCCTCCCACAGCCCACCTGGCGACAAACCACCTGTGCAGCAGCCGAGCGCCAGGTGTCGGCGCAGATCCCTCCCCACAGGTCCTGGTGGAACACCTGGACGGTCCCAGCACACCTGTGCGAGCCGTTAACCAGGCGCAGGTGAGTCAGGTCGGCCAAGCCAGAGCCTGCAGGGGAGACAGGACACACCTGGCTAGGTGGGTCATAGGGGGGGACAGGGAAAGGGTGAAGGGGGGCAGGTGAGGAGTCACCTGGCACACAGGTGAGGTGTTATATACAGGTAAGGAGGGACCTGGTGCACAGGTAAGGTGTTACACACAGGTAAGGAGGTACTTTGGGCACAGGTAGCATCCTGCACAGGTAAGCTGTTACCTCCTCGCTAAGGAGCTGCCTGGTGCACAGGTAAGGTGTTACCTTCCAGGTAAGGAGTTGCCTTACACACACCTAAGCTGCTAAAGCTCTTCCAGGTGATCACCTGGACCCCACCTGTGTGTCCCCCCCCACCTGTTGCTTACCTGCGCACACGACTCCGGCGTCCTCCGCGTGGTCACACCTGTGCACTCCCCAGCCCTTGTGGCGACACTCGGACAGTGCAGCTTCGCTACCTGTGCAGGTAACTCCGTCCAGCCAGATGGGGCCCTTACCTTGCCCAAACCGGGCCCTGGCTGGGGCCGAGATCACCTGGCCACAGCTCAGGTGGCGACAGACGACAGAGGCGGCGGCGAAGTCCCACCTGTCATCACACACTGTGCCCCAGGTGCCCTCATGGAGCACCTCCACGCGACCTGCGCACGCACCTGGGCCGTCCACCAGCCTCACCTGGGCCAGGCTGGACAGGTTGGAGCCTGTGGGCAGGTGAGGTGGAGGTTAGGCTGGATAGCTGAGGGGATTTGGGGTTCCAGGTGTGTTGTGGACAGGTGAGGGGAGTGAGATACACCTGAGTACGCTGTGACACAGGTATAGGTGAAGTAAGGTGTCACCTGCTCCCAGGTATGCTGGGGGCTCTCACCTGTGTACCTGGACAAGTGAGGAGGCAGTGAGATGCACCTGAGCACACCATAGCCCAGGGACAGGTAGGGGGAAGGTGGTACCTGGGTCCTATCTATGCTAGGGGAAGCTACGGGTGTGTCCTGGCCAGGTGAGGGGGCAGTGAAACACACCTGAGCATCCCATGATGCAGGTACAGGGGGGCAGAAGGTCTCCCTTGCTGCCAGGTGTGCTGAGGGGAATTACCTGTGCTACCTGCCCAGGTAAGAGTCACCTGAACATGCCATGGCCCAGGGACAGGTGTGTCAGAGCTCACAGCTTGCTGAGAGGAATTACAGGGGTGTCCTGGCCAGGTGAGGGGAGTGGGACACACCTGAGTACACTGTGACACATGTACAGGTGTGGTGAAATTGTCACCTGCTCCCAGATGTCCTGGGGGCTCTCACCTGTGCACCTGAACAGGTGAGGTTGAAGTGAGATGCTCCTGAGCACACCATGGCCCAGGGACAGGTAGGGGGAAGGTGGTACCTGGATCCTACTTGATCTAGGGGAAGCTCCAGGTGTGTCCTGTCCAGGTGAGGATAGAGTGAGACACACCTGAGCACACCATAATGTAGGTGTAGGTGAGGTGAAGGTGTCACTCCCAGGTATGCTCAGGTACACACCTGGGTGCTGTTACCTGTGCACCTGAACAGGTGAGGCTGGAGTGAGACACACCTGAGCACACCATGATGCAGGTGTAGGTGAGGTGAAGGTGCCAGTTGCTCCCAGGTGTGCTGGAGGGGGAGGAATTACCTGCCCTGGGCTGCTACTACCACCTTCCCGAGGGGCCTTACCTGTCCCACGTGTGTTCCCTGCCCAGGTAGGACTCACCTGAGCACACCACGGTGGCGACTCTCCCGTCCTCACAGGTGAGCTCTGCCCAGGGACTCATCCTGCACTGCCTCAGCTTTGTTTCCGTGCCCTGGCAGATCACCTTGTCCAGCCACACCTGGCCAGGTGAGCCCTCGGGCTGCTCCCTCGGGGCCTCAGGTAAGGCTGTGCCGCAGCCGAGCTGGCGACAGAGCACCTGGGAGGCCTCGTGGCTCCACCCCTGGGCGCAGACCCCGCCCCAGCGCTGCAGGTGGAGCAGCTCCACTCTACCTGCGCAGCGATGCGAGCCGTTGGCCAGGCGCAGGTAATGCGGCTCTGGGCTCAGGGCACCTGTAAAACACCTGGTTTAGTCCATGCAGGTGAGCTCCAGGTGAGCCTTGAGTCCTGGGGTTGAGCTCTCAACACCTGGTGTAGCTGGAGCCAGGTGTGGAGCAGGGAGGGGAACACCTGAGGGGTTGGGTGAGGTGGGGTCAGGTGAGGGATGGGGCTCACTACGGCTGGGACAGGCAGAGCTTCCTCTGGCCCCTACTACTGCCCCCAGGTCACCTGTGAGAACACCTGTCTCCTCCCACCACCTTCAATGAACACCTGGGGACAGATAGAGCCTCCTCTGATGGTACCACCTGGTCCAGGTGAGGCCCAGGTGGCCCTCTAGGTGCTGACAGTGCCCCCAAGTGACACCGCCTTCAATGAACACCTGGGGACAGATAGAGCCTCCTCTGATGGTACCACCTGGTCCAGGTGAGCTCCAGGTAACCCCCTGGCCCATCCCACTGCCCCCAGGTCACCTGTGGGCACACCTGGTGCTGCTCAGAACCTCTTCCAAAGGTACCCCCAGGTAACCCCATCCTGCCCACACCCACCCTCTCACCTGTCCCCAGACTCACCTTCGCACACCACACCTGCATCCTCCCCGTGGTAGCAGTCGTTGACCCCCCATGGCCTGGCAGGACAGGTGGCCAGGTGAGTCTCCTCCCCTGTGCAGTTGACCTCGTCCAACCAGATGATTCCTTCCCCCCGGCCGAACTGGGCCCCGCCAGGTGCGCTCAGGGCACGCCCACAGCTCACCTGGCGACACACCACCTGCGCGTCCCGCAGGTCCCACGCGTCGTCGCACACGCTGCCCCACCTGTGCAGGTGGAACAGCTCCACGCGGCCCGAGCAGGGCGTGGGGCCTCCCACCAGGCGCACCTGGGGGGACTCGGGCTCACCTGTGGGGGCAAAGGTGGGATGGAGGGAGCTCAGGACCTCAAGGGATTCCTCTTGAGCAGGTGCTGCCCTGAGATCTGCTCAGGTATTGACCTGGTACCCGCTCAGGTGTTTCCCCTTGACCAGGTGTTGCCCTGACACCTGCTCAGGTGTTGCCCCAGAACCTTCTCAGGTATTGCCCTGGTACCTGCTCAGGTGTTTCCCCTTGACCAGGTGTTGCCCTGACACCTGCTCAGGTGTTGCCCCAGAACCTTCTCAGGTGCTAAGCCTTGGGCAGGTGTTGCCCTGAGCCCTGCTCAGGTGCTGAACTTCAACCAGATGTTGCCCCTTGAGCAGATGTTGCCTTGGCACCTTCTCAGGTGTTGCCCTGGTACCTGCTCAGGTGTTGACCCTTGACCAGATGTTTCCCCTTGAGCAGGTGTTGCCCTGACACCTGCACAGGTGTTGCCCCAGAACCTTCTCAGGTGTTGCCCCTTGAGCAGGTGTTGCCCTGACACCTGCACAGGTGTTGCCCCAGAACCTTCTCAGGTGTTGCCCCTTGAGCAGGTGTTGCCCTGACACCTGCACAGGTGTTGCCCCAGAACCTTCTCAGGTGTTGCCCCTTGAGCAGGTGTTGCCCTGACACCTGCACAGGTGTTGCCCCAGAACCTTCTCAGGTGTTGCCCCTTGAGCAGGTGTTGCCCTGACACCTGCACAGGTGTTGCCCCAGAACCTTCTCAGGTGTTGCCCCTTGAGCAGGTGTTGCCCTGACACCTGCACAGGTGTTGCCCCAGAACCTTCTCAGGTGTTGCCCCTTGAGCAGGTGTTGCCCTGACACCTGCACAGGTGTTGCCCCAGAACCTTCTCAGGTGTTGCCCCTTGAGCAGGTGTTGCCCTGACACCTGCACAGGTGTTGCCCCAGAACCTTCTCAGGTGTTGCCCCTTGAGCAGGTGTTGCCCTGACACCTGCACAGGTGTTGCCCCAGAACCTTCTCAGGTGTTGCCCCTTGAGCAGGTGTTGCCTGGACACCTGCTCAGGTGTTGCCCCAGAACCTTCTCAGGTATTGCCCTGGTACCTGCTCAGGTGTTTCCCCTTGACCAAATGTTTCCCTGACACCTGCTCAAGTGTTGCCCTGGCACCTGAACAGGTGTTGAGCCTTGACCAGGTGCTACCCCAGCACCTTCTCAGGTGTTTCCCTGGCACCTTCTCAGGTGCTGAGCCTTGAGCAGGTGATGCCCTGCTATCTTCTCAGGTGTTGAGTGCTGCACAGGTAATGCCCTAGAAACTTCTCAGGTGCTGCCCTGACACCTGAACACATGTTGCCTCATGACACCTGAACATGTGTTGCCCCAGAACCATCTCAGGTGCTAAGTCTTGAGCAGGTATTGCCTCAGCACCTTCTCAGGTATTGCCCTGACACATGTTCAGGTGCTGATCCTTCACCAGGTGTTGCCCTGACACCTGACCAGGTGCTTCAGGTGCCTCAACCCCCCCAAAAGGATCTTATCCCCTGCTGTACCCACCTGTCCTGCCCCCCAGGTGAGCACCAGGTGAACCCCCTAACCCCTCCCCCACCTTCTCCAAATGCCACATCCAGCCAGCTGTGTCCCCCAAGGCCTTACCTGCACACACCACACCTGCTGCTCTCCCCTGGTGACAGGTGAGGTTGTCCTGAGGCCTCACCTGGCAGGCAGAGAGCGTCTCCTCCGTCCCAGCACAGGTAACACTCTCTGGCCACACCTGCCCCTGTCCATGGCCAAATCGAGACCCACCAGGTGCTGCCAGGGCTGGGCCACATCCCACCTGTCTGCAGGTCACCTGTGCCTCGTGCAGGCCCCAGCCCTGGTCACACAGAGCTGCCCAGGTGTCGTTGTGGGTCACCTCCACCTGCCCCTCACACGGGGTCGAGCCGTTGGTCAAGCGCACCTGAGTCACCACCGACACACCTGAGGCTGCAAGGGGATGGGGAGGTCACCTGGGGCAGGTGGGGACACCTGGGGGGTTGGAGAGGGGGACAGGTGAGGTCTAAGGTGGTTCTAAGCTGACCAGTTTGTGGTCACACCTGAGCCAGGTGTGATTTGGGGATGGGAAGGGCTGGAGGTGATGTGGGTGATGGGACAGGTGTGTCCCAGGTGTGTCCCAGGGTCCTTTGGGACTCCTGAAAATGCCCAGGTGAGGCGTAAGGTGATTCCCAACTTAACCAGTCCTTGAGTTCATGGCCACACCTGAACTACTCCTGGTTGCACCTGAGCCAGGTGAGGAGAAGGAACACCCTGAGGGCTGGAGATGAAATGGACAATGGGATAGGTGTACTCAGGTGTGTCCCAGGTGTATCCCAGGTGTGTCCCAGGTGTCTCCTAGCTGTTTGTGTTCCCTGGGACCCCCCAGGTAACCCCAAACACCCTTAAACCCCTCTAAACCCCCCAGGTAACCCCTCCAGGTAACCTCACCTGCACAGACCACACCTGTATCCCAGGTGTGCCCCAGGTGAGCCCTAAGGCCACTCCCATCCCATGCTTCCATGGCCACACACCTGAGCCAGGTGAGGAGAAAGGACTCCCTGAGGGCTGGAGCTGCTGTGCATCATGGCACAGGTGTGTCCCAGGTGTGTCCCATATGTGTCCCAGGTAAACTCCAGGTGTATCCCAGACATGTCCCAGGTGTGTCTTAGATGTTTCCAGTCCCTGGGCCCCCCAGATAACACCTAAACCCCCTTAAACCTCTCCAACCCCCCTCAGGTAACACCCCCACCCACAGGTGAGCTCACCTGAGCAGACCACACCTGCGTCCTCGCCGTGGAAGCAATTGTTTTCCCCCCAGGGCTTGGCAGGACATTCCAGGAGGGAACTCTCCAGTCCGGAACATTCCACCTCGTCCAACCAGATCGGGTCGTGGCCCCTCCCGAATCTGGCCCCACCTGGCGCCTCCAGCGCGTGGCCGCAGCCCAGGTAGCGGCAGGTGACGTTGGCGTCGCGCAGGTCCCACCTGTCGTCGCACACCGTG